GGGGGGGGGTGATGGTGGACGGAGCGGGTGCCGTGGCGACAGGGTTGACGAGCGTGTGGACGACGATGTTATGCTCGGTGGTCGCTTCGTTTTGAAGCGGTTGAGACACGGGGGCAGACGGGATGACAGTGTTGCGTCTTGTGTACGCAGACGTCATGTCCACATTGCGATCGACACGGGGGCACGTGACATGCGGCAGGACCCGGTTGCCGTGTCAGAGGACGAGATGGGAGATCCTTCCAACGAGACACGGCGTGACCCGGTTCATGGAGAGGAGTTAGCCTCGAACACCGATGTGATGGTGACGGAGGAGGATACAGGGTTCAGGATCACTCATCCCCGGTTGCCAGCGCCGGTTGTTGGCACTGAGGAGGAGACGGAGTTCGGAGGACCCGGTCCACTCCGCCAGGCGCAGACTCGGTGCACTCCAGCAGGCGCCCCAGTCCACTCTACAGGAGCGGGTTTGGAGGACGGTGAGGCACGACGTGAGCCGCCTCCTCACACGAGTGACGGCGGTCTAGAGGATGGAGAGGTTGCACCTACTCCCACTTGTGGACAGGACGGGGAGGACGAACGTCCTCCGACGGACCACCACGTCGGCCTCGACTGCCCGCCCGACAGTCTTCCGCCCACCGACGAGCTATTCACCATGGATTCCGCCTTGGCATCTCTGCCCGATATATCGCTACTGATATCTCCCACTTTGCCGGTTGTGGCACCACCGGAGCCTGCTGGACGAGATGACGCGCGTTGTGACAGAGGGTTCGACGAGTTCGGCGGCGACACGATACTGCATCCTCCAGAGTCCGGCACTCCCGCCATTTTTCATGTCGGTGCACCGTGGGCGGTGGAGCAGGGGTTGGCAGAGGAGGTGGCACGGAACCGTCGTGGCGGACTGCACGTCGCAACGCAACGTAGTCTGGAAGGTTCACTAGAGGCAGCGTCTGGAGATTTTTCGGTGCAGGGGGGTCATGGTTCGCAGCTGTTATCGGACGGTGTGTCATCAGTCCATCCACCAGACGAGGGCCCGCAGCGAGAGCCACATCGAGGCCCAGCGGAGAGTTTAGAGGCGAGGCCTCCCGGAGTTATCCGCTCGGACGGAGGCGAGAGCGTGAGCCAGGATACGGGGCAGCCAGGGGGCATCGAGCGCAGAGGGTCATCGACCGCACACCCCAGCATTGTTAGGCCCAACACACATAACGTTGGAGACGCGACCGCATCTGACGGGGATGCGTGACATCATGTGTCCACCACCCTCACGCCCCCCTACCGCTGATCCCGCCGCCCACGGGCAGGCTGCGCAGAGCGCATTGCCTGCGAGGTCTTTCTACGACGGTGCGGGCATGGACCGGAGGGCGGGCAATATTGGACAGACATCAGCATGCGGACCGGCAGATGTGCCCGCGGGGGCTCGATCGATCGGCAACGTCGATGGCACTTGTCACGATTCCATGAGAGCTTACGAGGAGCAGCATGGGAGGCCTATACGGGCCAAGACGACCGATGTCAACGACACCTGGACGGCAACTGCGAGGCTGTCACGGGCGAGGAAGAAGGGAACAGGTCTGTCGATTCCATATCACCGGCGCCGCCCGCATCATTTTTTCCGCAATAGGGACGAGACCAGACAGATGCCAGCTGCCGCAGATGGACAGGGGGGCCCGGAGGGAGGTGACAGAGTGGACGAATCAGGTCGAGGTGAGAAGAGACGAGGCGACACGATCATCATTCACGACGACAACTCCACAGCCGCTGAGGGCGGTGAGACCACAGGCGCCGACGATCCTGATGACTCCGATTACGTCCCGAGGATCCGGACGGCGGACGGAGATGACGGCCGAGGTCGTCGCGTGAGGATGAGAACTGGACCTGGCCCAGAAGGTCATTGCACCCCAGCGGCACATTTGTCGTCTATTGATCCAGGTGCGAGCTCGTTCTCTGTTGCGCGGAATGGAGGCGCAAAGAGAGAGAGAGAGAGAGAGAGAGAGAGAGAGAGAGAGAGAGAGAGAGAGAGAGAGAGAGAGAGAGAGAGAGAGAGAGAGACTCTGTGTTTTCAGTGTTCACTGCTCTCTATCATTCTTCGTTTGGCAAAGGACTGACCGAGATACCTGCCTGTTTGGAAAATTCACGAGGTACATATCAGTAAATATAGAAATATGGGCCTAGTACCAACTTCATTTTCCCTACAGGCTACAGGCCACTGCTACCCAAACTGCGAATAGCAGACCCGGGCTACCCCTAGGACAGACACGCCCCAAGGGCCTATGCTGATAGATGGTCCTATAGCCTATAGCCGAGTAGGGTTAGGCCCTAGAGGCCAAAACTGGTCAGTCAATCTGGTCTAGGTCGGTGTAGGCTATATGTACATTATAGATAGGATGTGGACACCAGAGGTCTGGGCTATCAGAGGTCTGATGCGTTGGAGTACGTACTGCACTGCTGAGTTAGTGCTGACCCTCCTCAGGAGTAGGGTCCCAGGCGCCCGGACTCCCAATGGCGATCCAGCTATAGCTGCATCTTTTCAGAGAGTATCATCGTCTGGACTTCATCTTCTTCAAGTACTGTTGGCGGTGAGCTTCTACTTCATCATCTGAGTGGCGATCGCCGACTGGCTTTGGGAGCCTATTTCACTTTCGCGCAGGCCACTGAGTCGGATGTCAGGGTGGCGCTGGGCCGCTGGCTCGCTGGGTGTTACCTGGGGTCGTAACTTTCGTTGTTGTTTTTAGTTGTTCAGGGTATTGGGGTTGAGGCGCTACCCCTTTCAGGGTAGCGCAACTTCTGAACTTTTGAGGTTATTTTAGTTGAACGATGCTCTGAGTTCAATAAACAGTGTAAATACTGTGTTTGAATTGTCATCTCTCCATTGCTTTCTGGTTGTGAATCTTGTGATCACTCGGTTGTTATCTATGAAAGATTGTTGTGGAGAGAAATCACTGAATTACGTATTCTGTCACTTCGCTTCTCTGAGTCTTCCGTTGAGTTTCTTCTTCTGGGCTGTGGGACACTTCAGTACCTGTCCCCCTTTTTCTGTGCATGTATGGGCGTGTACGCCGTACGGGAGTTCCGGTGAGTGAGTGTTGGCCAAAGTTCAACAGACGGTCATGTTCATAGCATGTGTGTATGTGCGTGTGTGTGTGCGTGTGTGTGTGTGT